CCGACCCCCGACCGGTAGGTGCCGACCAGCCGACCGGTCGGCGGGTCGGCAGCCAACCAGTCAGGGGTCGCCGACGGTCGGCGTGTGCAACACTGCCCACAGGCAAAAACAAAAAACAAAAAATTCAACCTACCGGATGCCCTTTCAGGGCCAAAAAAAATCTGCTCGTATGCTCGTATTTTTGGCTAGCGGCCCTGGGCGAGACGAAACGCCCTGAACAGCCAAATTTTTTTTTGGCAGTTGGCCAAAGGGTCTGGAATCCGGACTGGGATCCGGACACGTTCACCGGACACCAGACACTGGACGGTCCGGATCCCTGTCCAGAAGTCCGGATTGCTGCCATGCTTCTAAGTCATCTAAATTTCAGATAGGGGCAACCCAAATGCCACTGTCCAATGAAAGTGCAGGTAACATGCTACCTCATCCCTCCAGGTCCAGATCACCCATGGTACCTACCACCTAAGTCCAGCACCTCCTTTACCAGTGTTGACAAAACACTCCCTCAACTCTTCTTCCCAAACCAACAAGCAGACAGGGACAAAGACAGAGCAAGACACGCTCGTACAATCGGCATCGTTCATACTTAGGGAATCTCACTCACCCCAGAAGCTGCTTTTTGACGATATTGCTCCTGCAGAGATGCACGCCTGGCTTCCACATTCGATAACTCTGTTCTCAGTTTTACAAGTGCTTCTTCAGCCACTCTTATCTGCAAAGCAACAAAGTTAATCCACCTGTCATGACATGCTTCCATTAATATGGCAGTGCACTTACAGCAAAGATGGCAGTGCACTTACAGCAAAAATGGCAGTGCACTTATGGCACATGCCAGGAATAAGACGGTTAACAAAAACAAGTTAAGTGAGGTGCTTGTACTGCTCTTAGACCACCAGTGCCTCCGAGCCTCTCTTCCCGCACTGATTTGCACTGCATACCAATGAAAACCGAACCACCAGTGGTGCACCTTTTTTCTTTCTTGGCTGGCGCTGCCAGCCATTTTGGTCCGGTAGCACTGTTCATCCAAAATCTTTGGATTGGGCCAATTTCATTTGCCTCAGCAATGTACTGGCAGCTTAAGTATGCAAGGCCGCAATGAGATGCGGTCCAGCAGTAGAAGTCATTAGAACCCACTGTCAAAGTGGAGCTGTACAGTCTACAGTACAGTAACCAAGTAGGGTCATGTTCTTTTCACCTGTGCAAAGAAATGAGCAATGCAAATGACAATAAAGTTGAATAAACCAGATTGCAGCATTGCACGGAAATCCAGAAAACTTTGAGGCCGAACTGAAAGCAGATTGCAAATCGAGATCGCACCAAATAAGTACGAGCAAAGCATTGAAGTCACATGATAATGAAAGCCCCTATCTCGCCTCCCATCACCGATGCTCAACAATGTAGCTATCCTATATTGGCGCTTGGTGCCCAGAGTACTCACAGACGCTCCTACGGACCTAGACTCCTATCTACAACAGGTCAGCAATGAAGATCATCAGCCCGATGACACATGAAGACTCCAAGTTAACAGCCCGCTGCTACTTCATCAGGAGAGTGTCCCCGCACAGTCCCCTTTTGCCCAAGGACCTCTGCTATTCCTCATCTGGGATGCAAGCGCACAGTGCGGGTTACGGCTGCCACTTGCTCCCCTGCTGCTCCGTATTGCAGCTGCCCCCACACTTCCGCCCACACTCTTCCTTCCTCTGGCCAGGCTCTCACAGATAGAACCTTGGGGAAGGGTTTAAGAAGCACTGCCTGATTGCCTATCACCAAGACGGTCTAGGGGGGCAGGAGCAGATCAGGGTTTGGATGAGAACACTGCTCTACGAGCCTCTACAGTGAAGGAATTACTCTGTGAGGGCAGGAGTGGATTGGGTGGCGGAGAGTCTCCTACTTTGGGGGTGAGTAGGGTAGTGCCAAGGGGAAGTTGGTAGGGGACTCCTTGGGGAGCATTGCTCTACAGGGCATCACCATGGCAGGGGGGGGGTAAATGTTCCTCGCGAGCGTTGGTGGACTGGGGCCATGTCCGACTCCGGGCCTTGGGTGGCAGGGTAGTGACAAGGGGTCACAGAGGGCGTGGTCCACCCTAGGGGGAGCCCCACTTTACGAAGGCACCATCATGGAGGGCAGTGGGTGTCCTAGTAGGGGGTGTGCAGATTAGCTTGTCATACCCTGGGGCCTGGATCGTGGGTGGCAGGGTATTGTCACAGGGCTTAGATGAGGTCTATCTCAGTACGAGGGGAGGTGGCGAATCCCGAGTAGACTACCAGACAAAATAGTAACGACAGCTGAACTTGGGGGGGTAGGGATAACTGGCTATGAAAAAGGGTATAACTAAGAAAAAGGACCGTAGAAACCAAGACCTAAGCATCAACAACCGGATAACAAGCACAATAACAATGATGATGTGAAAAACAGCTGCAATAGGGGGGTGTACCCGGGTAGCTCAGGACCTGTCATAGGCTAGACCTTGAGCTTGGGGAGAGTGCTCAGACATATAGAGGGACCCAGATGATGAACTAACTTGGTAGGGCACTGAGAATCTACCCACAGGACCTGTAGAGAGAATGCTCACTCCTAGCGAGCCTCAGAAGTTGCCATAATAGACCCTTTGGGATTTTATTTCACAGGACCTTGGATTTCTACCAGGCTGTTTGGGTTTCAGGCGAAATGGGGGAGATAGTCGGTCAAGATGTGTTGTCACTACTCTATAAAAAGGGTGATAAATATAATATAGGGAATTATCGCCCCACTACTCTTTTAACGGTTGTTTATAAGTTAGTCTCCAAAGCCCTTACAAATCAGCTGAATAAGTTCATAGCAGATATTATCCATCCTTCTCAAACAAGTTTTATTCAAGGAAGGAATGTCCATGATAATATTCTACTTATAAATGAACTCATCAAGCTCTCTCGTCAGTCAACGTATAATGCAACTTTCATTTTCATTGACTTTGAGAAAGCATATGATCATGTGGATTGGTTCTTTCTTGACAAATGTCTGGAAAAGTTTAATTGTGGTCCAAATTTCAGAAGATGGATTAATATTCTCCATAGAAACACCACGACTAGAGTTATGATTAATGGTAACGTGACTCCTCCAATTTCTCTTCAGAGATCAGTACCACAAGGAGATCCTATCGCACCGCTTCTCTTTGTGATTATCATGGAAGCCCTAGCTGCAAACATAAGACAACATAAATATATTAAGTGTATCCAGATATTTTCAATCCCTGAAGAGGCAGTTCCGGTATGTTCTCTCATTGCGGATGACCTCTCCCTTATGATAGATGCTTCTCATTCAAATCTTGATGCTATCAAGAGATTAATGGATACATTTTGTAGACTCTCAGATATGAAGGTAAATTAGGGTAATAAAACACTAGGATGGTGGATCCATCATCAAGGAGTTAGACCTCCCGAATCCCCTCGTATTAGGTGGGATCACGATAATGAATCAATTAGAGTCTTGGGTGTGTCACTTTCTATCACAGGTAAACCCTCCATGACTAATGAAGGGATCCTTCAACAAGCTTCACTGAAATTAGACTTGTGGAAGGATAAAGGTAGAGGGGTGATAGTCCGGAGTGGTAGACACTGACGTAGGACTGAGGGAGTGGGGGCGTGCCATGGAGAATTGACGGAAGGAGTGTGGGTAGGGTCTACCGAGGGGCAGGTCCCAAGCAAATAAAAAAAGATTGGTGTGCTCTTGGCCTTGTCAATCTGCTTTCAGTTTGGTCTGCTCATGCATGGTCTTCAACACGTTTGTGCCGCTCAAAATTTTCATGTTCTCACATGGTGGTTCCTTGCATTGCCATTTGCCAAAACTGCCCAGTGCTGTCCACCCCGGAGGTGAGGATGAAAGCAGATCCATATCGTCATCACCCCGTCCCAATGGGGATACAGCCCTCCTAAGATAACAAATCCATTCCTGGTGGGTGCTTGATCGTTAACCTCAAAACAATCTCATTGCCGACATGGCTCGACTTCCAAAGCATACGTTAAACTTTCGCCTCGTACGCTTCTTCTCAGAACCTAGATTTATAGTTGTGTCCTCTATTTTATGGTCTGGATTGAATTCAAATGTTATCGTAACCTAAGACTCCAGTAAATTAGGTCACTATCGAATGGACTGCTGGTGGAATGGACCGCTTCATGTTTGCAAACTCTTGTTGCTCCGACTTAATCGAATGAGATTGCACTGGCACCGCTTCCACTTCGTGGCCTTGGACATGTAAGATTCCTACAGTATTAACCACGTTAAATCAAGAGTGCAATGCTCCCTTCTAGCCAAAACTTTTCTTCCATTCCTTAGAGAGAGAACCGACATGTCTGCTATGTAATGTAACTGTGTCCAAGCCAGAAACCCATGCAACAACTCGATTGTAAGCAACTATGCATCCTCTAACAAGAAGGCATCCTCTCTCTGAGTAACACCTCAACTTCTCATTAGTAGCAAGCCAATAACAGATAGCTTCAGAACTTGTTCGACACGTCAGCAAATCACAAACTGCAACAGCAGGTCATACGTCAACTCCAACTCCAGCAACTTCTTGTTTCTTCGACCGCACACATAGTCCTAGTGGTGGTAGGAGTAGTACTTCTCTAAGGTATTGTTTGCCGCATGCAAAACGTATGTCAAATGCACTAAAGCTTCAATCATAACACACACCTTCCCTGCTATTTCTGTCGCCGCATTTCCCAAATCTGCCATCTGTTTCCTTAGATCTGCAAGCTGTGCTTGCACCCTTCCACGGCCAGCATCACCTTTCTTTGCTGCGGATTGTTGTTGCTGTCATACCACCAAAACCGAAGTCATAGCACCAGCCACTGGCATATCAGCGATGCAAATGTAAGCAATCTTCAGTCCACAAGAGTTCAACATGCTCCAAAGATCTTTCTTAATGTCATACGGATCATCACCCTCACCTGTTGGGTTCGCCAAATGAAAATACAGCAGATGAAAGGCTAGACACATTTTCAAGTTTGACAAGCAATGAACTTGCTTTGCACATGCCGTGCCAAAGCACCCTTCACATCTATCCATCAAATCGGTGTGTGGTCTTCTACACTGCAGACTACCATGCAACTGACAAGGCAATCACTCCAGATCAATATACACCAAAATACGGATGTCATAGACATCCGAGAGATGGAGGCATCCACTTCAGAAACATCAACTGGAGTGTACAGCACCCTATCATATGCAACGAATTGTCAGCATGCCAGACTGCACAGAACCCTCTGGATGAAGACACAACCTATTGTTGGAGGCCTCACTGAACACAAGATACTCGCAAAACCGTTGGCAAGAATCATCACAGGCAGGCAGGGCAAACAGAAAGGGCTTGATGACATTGACCCACCACTTATTTCAAGTTATTTGTGATGACCTGCCAGCTAAAACTTTAGCTTGATCACATCCACAGCCAAACTTCGATGAGGATAATGTCCAAAATTGACAGGGAGTCGTAACGAAAACACAGGTATCAGTAACAATGTCTACTAGAGTACAATTCACCCGTTCCTGCCCCTGGAGGCATGTTAGACAGGGCACCCCAGCAATGCCAATGCAGCAACATGCAGCATAACTGCACTAACTCATATTATCATATTCATCAAGTGCAATTAAACGGTTACCAGAGCTTTGGAACAAATGCTGAAACAATAGACTCATTATGAACAGCAGAGAAGAGTACATCATATATTCAACATGACAGGTAAGGGAGGGGGAGGAGACCGAAACCAAAGTTCACGCTTAGCAGGGTGAGAGTTCCGCCAAGGCAAGGAGCAGAACACAAGCAGCCATGTATACCTGAATCTTAGCTGATTCAGCCAAACTCTGCTCTGTAACAGCCCCTGACAGACCCTCAATGAAATTCAATACTTCTGTTGGTGACGCGTTTGGCTCCTTTATGCCCATGCTCCTCAGACTCTCTGCGGCTGACTCTGACCTGCTTTCGAGAACGAGTTCCAGCCGACCTTTGTGCAGCTGTAGAAGTTCCCACGAACACCTGCAGAGACCGGCCCACATGACCTGCCCAGCCTTGTTAAAGTTGCACAAGCCAGAATAATGAACCAATTACAACAAGGGATTCTTGACTATGCAGGTTTTGTCACAATTGAGAATACAAGCGGCTCCAGAGCCCAGAGGGTAGAGAGTCAGCCCCTCGGAGTTACGTTGGTACAGAGACGAGACACACAGCTCCTCGTCAGCAGCGCGTGGCGAGACTTCTGAATGTGCGGACGGAATATATAGGGTACTAGACTCTCGCTAGGGTTTAGGGTTCTAGCAGGCAGTCGGGACGAGGCAGAGCAAAACAGCTTAGAGCCACACAAGTCGTGTAAGGCTGGAGTGTGATATGGGTGAGGGGGGGTACATCCTTCCTGGAGACGGGAAGCATTCAATGAGGGCAATCAATGCCGCTCTCACGGGGCCCTTGGCCATAACGAAGAGAAGCGTCGTGTGGCCACAGGTGGTGGTAAACTGAGCCGACACTGGGTAATGGCCCCGGGTGCACAAGACATTTGATGTATATGAGGGACGCTGGACCCGGTTTCCAGCAGGTGTAGCTCCCCACCAACAGACGGGAGCAGCCAGGGAGGCCTGCTAGGAGGGGCTGCTCATACCACCCCCCCTAGCAGGCCGGGACTGGCCATGGGGAAAAAAACGAAAAAGAGGCTCCAGAGATAGTTGCTGAGAGTTGGTGATGATCTCTTAAAGTACTGTAGGGACAGCAAGTGCATGGACAGCAAGCCACCTAACTGTAAAAAATGGATAAGTTCTATCGATAGTCACTTTTGTTCTCCTAAATTGATTTTGTATATGACTCTATTTGCTCTAGAGAGTTAAAACGATCTGTAATTAAAGTGAAATCACACTACGATTATTCAA